GGTGCGCCGACGGCTTTGGAGTTGACATAATTTCCTTCCAGACAAGACGATGCACCTTTACAAGTCGTCCACTCGGTTCAGTCGGAAGCCCAGCGAGTCGCCGTCTACGCCTCCCGATGTAGATGTCAGCCGGGCGCAATCTTGGGAAGACGAGGATCTCATTAAAGAAGGTCCGCGTGTTGTCATGCGGATATCTTCCTCTATCTGACAGTTCGCCTTCCTCAGCCAATTCCTCGTTGCCCGCCGTGCGTAATGCTGTCCGGAACGCACGCGCTGGAGCAGATAGCAGGGCCGATCGTATGACAATCTGGATCCAGAATGTAGAAAGTGAGTGCGCTGCTGACAACAAGCTTAAAAGAGAAGGACTAACATGCGGTTCATTTTCCAGAGGTAGTAGAGGATGCGCGCCAGAACTTCGCATCGTCGAGCGTTGCGCATCTCCCGCCCCTCCCTATTGCCCCGGTCTCGCGTTCAACCTCACGGAATCGGTCGAATCGGTCGTCACGGCTGCCCCGCAAGATCCTCGCAGCGAGCCAGATCTTCCACCACGACGGCGAGCAGTCGTTTGCCGACCAGAGCTATCTATCCGCTTCGACACCCCAGATTGCAAGCAGGAGGGCACCGTCAACGCCGGTTCCAGAGCATACTCTCCCGGTTATCCCTTCGGAAGAACCCAGCAGAGCGGCCTTTTCCTTGGACAGCCCGCGCAGGATGCGACGGGCAACTGTCTTCGGCTCTCCGGAAAAGAGCAGAAGCATGGAGATCGAGACGGGGTCGCCGTCAAAGCGGAAGGAAAAGTCAAAGTCGCAGAACGATCTGCAGCGGGCGATCAGCCCAGTGTCGAAGCTGACATTCGAGCTGGAGAGGCGTAAGTGTTCACCATTGATCCTGCAGATCAGGGCCTTACCTTCACCTCGTAGTCGCCCAACCATCGCCGCCGATGCGTTTGTCCGCGGTGGTCGACAGAAACCTGTTTATCGCGGAGCCCGTGAAGACCAGCGTCCCAGAGACTCCTGCGCCTTCGATTCAGGTCACTGTTGAGGGACGCACGGGCCACGACAGCCTGACGGCATCGCCCTTCGTCGTGCAGCCTTACCCACCCCGCGAGCGTGCGACTGCGTCTCCTACGATCGACTCGCCGACGCAACGCCGGGTCGAGGGCGTGTACGACCGCTTCCTCATGGCCACGTCGGGCGTGAAGCGCGTCGGGCGCGGATATCAGTCGGACAACATCGGCCCGATCTCGAACACGCCGGTCCTGGCGCCGGCGCCGTCGGGCCGCACGACGCCCGGGCGCATCTTCCACTCGACGCGCCGCGTCATGCCGCCGCCGGTGTCGAGCGAGGACCAGCGCAAGACGCTGAGCGTGGATGAGCTGGGGGTCATGGTCCCGAGCACGTCGGGCACGGACACGCCTTGCTCGAGGGACGAACGGCCGCATACGGTGCGCAATGTGACGCGTGCGCTCAAGGCGATCGTCACTGGGAAGACGGTTGTGAAGAAGCACCCTTGGGTGTAACTCCTTCGCCATTCGATTCCATCTATCTTTTTTCTTTCTTTGTGATTCTGGACATCCTACTCCCCTCACGTCACTCGTTGATTTCTCTCTTCATCCCAGACTGGCTGCTGCTCTTGCTTTCTTGTACTCCAAACCCGTTTTCGCGTTTCGTGTTTATACTGTCATAGTCCTCGCTCATCCTTGCCGCTTTGCTTTGCCCATTGCTGTCTATCTGTCTGCTGTCGATTTATCCACACGCTTCAATTTGCATTTCACGATTCTAACGATCCGGATCCTTCACGTATGTTATGTTATGTTACGGTTTTCGCATTTCTCTCCTGTTTTACTGCATTGCTCGTTACGATCCTGCGCCGCGCAGCGGACTGGTATCGGCGCCGTCCGGTGCTCTGCTCCTGCGCGGACAACGAATCACAACTATTTTGACGCATCGATCGTGGGTGTGAAAAGACGGCCGACTATTTGCGGAAAAGGCAAACCTCGCAGCCGGACCGCAGAGGGAGATCCTCGCTTGCTGCCACCACCGTCTGTCCCCGACCTCTGGAATATGCCCGATGCACGCGCCGAATCCACGCACCACGTCCACCCCGGGGACCTGCCCTACTCTACGCCTGTCCTGCGCTCCGCATCGCCGAGCGGGTCGCTGACGACCGAGTACGGGCCCGACGCGACGAGCCCCGCGCTCGCGGAGCTCTCTGCAGACGCATTTGAGAGTGCGATGGAAGACGCCCTGGGCTTGAAGCGACCGCCGATTTTAGGCCTGCCGCCGTTCTTTCCGTCGAGGGTCAAGGGGATGGACGAGAAAGGTGCGCAGTCGCCCTGCTCTGCGGCTCGGCCTGACTCTGACGTTCGGGTGGTGGGTGCCCAGTGCTATTCGAGCGCGTGATGGTATCGCTACGATGGCACGTCCAACGTGTCGAGGACGACGAGCGGGCGGAGGCCGCCGTCGTGCGCAATTTGCAGAGTGCGCGTGAGGTGGAGGTGCTGGCGGCCGGCGTGGACGAGATCATGCAGAGCATGATGGGTCCGCCGCTCAGCCCCATGCGCGTAGATGATTTATACGGCGGTCAGAACGATCTAGAGAACAGGCTATTCGGTGGTCACGAATATGGGAACGGCGAGGGTTCGGGGAGGGCACGCTAATGCCGCGGTGCGCTGTACTGTGCGTGTTCTGCGAAACATGTTGTCATCGTTGACGGCGGCGGCGCAAATAATAATCGCCTTGTGCGTCGTTTCCAGGCTATTCTCTCGGTCTGTATCCGCGTCCCGAGACATTCTCCTGTGCTCTCCCGACGCCTCCCTGGCCGTCCCGCACTCGCGCGGGTTGAAGGTTCCGCCGTGGGCCGCGACGTGACACGTCCACACCGTCGACAATCCAGATACGCGTGCACACGCGCCCGCAGATGAGCCCGCCGCCATCGTCGACGCCAGGACACGCTGGGAACGCACTTCCGCTTCTGGGGTATTTTGTCAGAAATTACCGCGTCTGGGTGCTTACGGGGGCGCTCTGACTCACAGCGACCGTCCGCGGTCAGCACGTTGCGCGCTTGGCGAGTCGCTCCCACCGATCCTCGCTGGACGCTCAACGGACGCCTCATCGCGCGCGACATCATCCATCACAGATTACGAGACGGTCTACCTCTGCAGGCTGCTCCTTCACACCCGTTTGTCACCCGGAAGAATCGCGGGATGCTATAAAGCCAACTGGCGCGCTGCTTCCTATCTTGCATTCCACCAACAGCCCCTTTCCACTCTACCTCCTCTTCCTTCCCTCGGCCACCATGAACCTTCTGTGCTGTTTCCCGTCAAAGAGCCAAGGCGCAGTTTACGACGACAAGCCCAAGGCGGCTCCCTCTAAGCCTGCCGCGAGCGCAACGCCCGCCGCCACCTCTGAGAAGCCGACCAACGGGACAGCATCAAAACCAGCGTCTGCTGCCACCAAGCCCAAAGTCGCCATCATCATCTACACCACCTACGGCCACACCGCGAAGCGTGCGTAGTGCACTGCTCGCGCCCACTCGCGCGTCGCTGACCCCTATTCGCTTCCCTCAGTTGCTGAATCCATCAAGAGCGGCGTTGTGTCTGCTGGCGGCGATGCTACCATCTACCAGTGCGTATCACTCTGATCACGCCGTGTCCCGCGCAGCTGACACGACCTGCCAGGGTTCCCGAGACGCTCCCCAAGGAGGTCCTCGACAAGATGTACGCGCCCGCGAAGCCCGACTACCCCACCATCTCCCCCGAGGAGCTCCCCCAGTTCGACGCCTTCCTCTTTGGCATCCCGACACGCTTTGGCAACATGTCCGCGCAGTGGAAGGTGCGTGCGCTCCCGGCGCACACGACGTGACGCAAGCTGACAGGGCCGCAGAGCTTCTGGGACGCAACAGGCGGCTTGTGGGCAACAGGCGCGCTGTACGGCAAGCACGCGGGCATGTTTTTCAACACCGCCGGTCTGGGCGGTGGGCAGGAGTCGACGGCGGTGTCGAGCATGAGCACGCTCGTGCACCACGGGCTGGCGTTCGTGCCCCTCGGGTACGGCACCGCGTTTGCGCAGCTCACGGACCTCTCCGAGCCGCATGGCGGTGCGTGCTGCTGCTTCTCTTTCACAACCTGGTGTCGTGGCTGATGCGTGTTTGGTGTGTGTGCAGGCTCGCCGTGGGGTGCAGGCAGCCTCGCGGGCCCGGATGGCTCGCGGCAGCCGTCCGCGCTCGAGCTCGAGATCGCGCGCATCCAGGGCAAGTCGTTCTGGGCGTTCATCACGCGCAACCAGAGTTGAAACTAGTCGGTCGACGGGAGAGAGGACTTTGCGAGGTACTTTATTTGATACGATACGCGTAATTCGGGCGGCCTGTTGTGCGCCATAATTCATGTCTCTGGACTGTTCATGCATCCATGCTTCATGACTCTCTCTTTGGATGAAGCTGCCGCATCTTGATTGCATATTTGAAAAGATGGCATGCCGAGCCCCTCGCTTTAACAACTAAAACTCGGACTCTGATAAGCTGCCTTGTGCTCCCAACCCTCTCTAGGTTCTGCAAACAGGTGTATTAAGCAGCACCCATAGCTCAGTGGTAGGACGTGTGATTGTTCGATGTTGCACGACATGCAAGAAATATGGCTCCATAGGGACCACTGGGGCGGTGTAGTTTCACCAGAGTGGGCCGTGGCACACGGCGCCCCGCCGTCCCAGTAGCCATTAAACAGTCATATTTCTAGCATGGCGCAGTATACAGGTCCCCTGCGCACCTCGATATGTGTCCAATCTCGTCCTGCGGACGACTTGAGGATTTATCACCTTTTCCCAGTAAGACAGAGCACGTCTCTGGCTCTTTCCCATGGGCAGATCGTGAGAAGGTCCTCTTGCCCGCCACTCCGCTCTTCAAAACGGGCTGCTTGACTTCCAGTGATTCCATAAATTCCATAAATTCCGAAAACATTTACCGATAGATTTGTGAATCCCTTTTCTGTATGATACGCAAAAATTTGACCCCGACCCGGATTGAACGGATGACCTTGTGGAACCACCGGGTACATATGTACGCACTGGAATCACACATTCTACCACTGAACTACGGGGTCGCACTTGTTGGCGACACACCAATTCTTATCAATAGCGAGGCCCTCGCGCAAGGCGCCACCGCCGCTCTCTCTTCTTCAACTCTGGGAAGAAATATATACTGTCGTCAGGTCCAAAGTGTAGGGCACAGCAGCTAGATGCCATAGCCCTGGTTTGCTTCCGGGACGGATTCAAAAGAGGTATGTTGGTATCCCGCACCGGTTTCATCTTGTTGGGGCCTGGAAGCCCCGAGATGTGCAGAGCGATGTCTTTTGCCCGCGTGAACTCGGGACGTGTACGGATGTGTCGGGGAGATTTACTACTCCGAGAAAAGAGTTCGTAGATGACGGGAGGGGAAAGCAGAATCCAGTGGATGCGGGGGGAGTGGCGGTGGCTGGCTGCGGTCCGCGGAATGGACTGTTCAGGTTGCGGCCAAGTTTTGGCTCTCTGCCATGTTTGGCTCGGACGTGTCTGAGGGCGCCGAGGTTCATGTTTTCTCGGTTCCGACTGGGCGAAGTCAGCCAAACGCGATTCTTGAACCGACGAGACAGCTCGTATAGAGCTCACCGTGAACAGCGGCAAGTTGGCGCGAGTGTCATGGATTCTAGAGGCCGCCGAGACGCCGCTGCCTCTCGTACAGCTTCGACTCGGGTTCCAGCTGTTTCGCAGCTACGACAACCGTAGTGCGTTCAATAGAATCACCTGCCCAAACGCGTACTCTTTCGGGTTTGACTCACCGGATCCCCTGACCCGCCATTGACTACAATCCACAGCGCCATTTGACAGATTTCATTTTGACGGTGTGTGGGTACAGCCTTGTCTTTCGCTTTAGTGAAATCGGATTCCGGGAGCTCACGTTGTCGATTTCCGCACCAGTGCCGGCGCCACGCCGAAGCCTGCACCGTGTACCCCCGGCCCACCTGAGAATAGCGCAGTCGGCGATGGTGAGAGAAAAGACCTCATTCCGACCGTCGGAGACTGAACGCGGACGGACGAAGCAAGCGGCCAGCTCACACAGCGGGCAAGGCGGGAACGGGTGAAGGTGTCGATCGCGACTGCGGGGTGGAAATGTCTATATGTCATGATCATCGTCAGTCGTATTGTTGTATAGTACAATCGCGGAGCGGTAGGAGAGATCGTCCGCTCGAACGTATGCCCTGTGTATATCAATGTCATTGGAGCTCCAGTCGTCTCCCCACGAGACATATGTCAGAGACAAGGGATGGCGGTATCACGCACACGGTACTCGGACATCCGTTTCCTACTCCAACCCTGTCTGCGCCAGCCGTGCGCTACTGACGCCGAGCTCCAAAAGAGGTATGCCCACACGCGTGTCTTCGCTCTTTAGTGAATTGGAAGGCATCGCGATCAGGACGGCGAGCTGGACCGGCGAGTCTTCTGGAGGGGTAGAGCCAGGTGCTGCGCTAGACGTCGTTGGACTTGGCGGTCGCCGTTGCGTCGATGGGGAGACGTAGCGATGGATGGAAGAGGCTACTGGACGGATGAATTCGAAGGGTCCCCGCTCCTCACCTGAGTCCATTCGGGCAGGGGATGGCTTTAGCACGACCGCAGACACGGGCTGCCATACGATCGTGGTCAGATCGCAGTCCTCCGCACGAGTCGCGCCCCACGCACCGTAATCGCCTCCCAGCCCTTCTCCAGATCGTCGTCTCCTTTCTCTCCAGGAGCCGTTTTCTCGAGGTACGTTTGCCACATGCGCGGCCGCTCCCCCAGCGCAGACGGCGGTGGCCGCGGCGGGACGTATGTGCCGTTGGCGATCGCGAGGAGGATCGCCTCGCGCGCGCGGCGGCGGAGGACGACGGAGCGGGTGATGATGGTGACGGAGATCACCAGGAGTACGCCGAGCGTGGCTACACTCACGGACACATTGTCAATGGTGAGCATGATGCAAGCGGGGTTGCGAACCTAGGAAAGTGTAGACTGGACAGCTGGTTCAGGAGGTGGGAATGTGGAAAGACGCGTGCGACTCACGATAGAGGGTCGAGGACTGGCCGAATGTAATCCCTGAGCCCGTCGTGGGTGGAGGCGCCGCCGTCGGGGCCTGCGACACGCTGCTGGAGGATGCGGACGTGAAGGTGGACATTGTGATCGTGACGAGAGGAAGAAAAGACGAGCTGGACGACGCATTCTCGTTATAACAGCCGACGAGGGTGGGGAAGCTGTCGCCACTAGTCCTATCGGTGAAAGAAGCGCAGGCTGGGAGAGTCGTGGCCGTCGCGTGATCAGGGCGGACTTCCGACCTTCCGTGGCGACATCTGACGCGCGAGGAACATCGTCGATGGTCGAAGTAGCACGATGTTGGAATGTCGCTGTCCACCACGTCGGTTGCATGGATGGTTTTCCAGACGTTTTGCGCAGCTCGTGTGTACACCGCGCCAGCTGATTATCATCTTCGGCCACCCTGAAGAGAACAAGGTTATATGATACTGACCTCGAAGCAACCCACTCTCGATAGCCATCAGCTTCTCAAGTATGTTTCAGGGACATTGCAGGACCACAGCAGATACCTGCGAAGAGCCAACGAAGAAACTCCCGTGTAGTATCCTGTCGGATACCAGCCTTCGAGTGAATCGCCAACATACGTCTCATTGATCTTGAACATCAAAGACAGCCTGGAGGAAAGTGGCAATGCAAAGGAGGGAAGCCTTGAAGGTGGCAGCTCGCAGTCAAGGCCGCGCTGCTGTGGAACGTACTGTGGGAAGACGTGACATAAGCTGAGACATACGAGTGGTCTCACGCTTTGCATCGAAACCGGCAGCCGAGTCTTCCTAGCAGACGATATGGCGCCGCTATGCTTCCCTGTGCCGCCGAGATAAACTCTTCTCTGTTCTCGGTATGACACTGGAGTAGTGAATACCTGGACTGCGGATTTGGACTGCGGATTTGCGTGAGTCCTGGAGGCTGTCCCGTGTGTCAACGCGGAGCTGCGTTTGATCTTTTCAACCTTTAGCTCTCTCTCTCTCCTCCACCTTCCTGTTGCATATGAGCCGGCAATCCCATGTGTTAGGTATGTCGTTCAGAAAAAACTCCTAGTGCTGTCCCGGATCGAGCTCTCTTCTAGCGTCAACCCACCGAGCCAAACGGCAGTTTCTTTTCGCTCCTCTCATCATGTCCATTCGTACCATCTGTCTCGCTCGCGGCCCGGAGCCATATCCATTGATATGCCTAGTGGTGTGCACGCTCCCTCTCTCTCACTCACTTCACGCATAGCCTTCACAGAGTGACCTTTATCTCTGCTTCCCGTCTACACTCCCAAAAGTCTCCTCCGCCGGATGCGGGCCACGCCATGTAGCCGCACGGATAACGGGCAGTGCTTCAATCGCGTGCCGACTGCGGACGCCGAATGTCGCTCGCTCATTCCCCGAAACTACTCAGATTGAGGTCAGCCTGGAGAAAAGTGAGTTGATGCGAAGGCTGAGCTGTTGTGGGAAGATGTGACATAAGCTGAGACATACGGGTCGCAGGCTGTCGCGCAGGTCTCTGCATCGAAAACAACTGCAGTGCCATGCGCTTCCCTGAGATGCCCCGAGATCAGGTTTTCTCTGTTCTCGGTATGAAACTGGAGGTTGAATACTCGGAGCTCGGACTTTGGTGAGTCCTGGCCGTACCAACGCGGAGCTGTGTATGGTTTTCCTATCGCTAGCTTTCTCTTCCTCTCCTCCACCTCTATATGGGCTGGCAATTCCATGTCTTAGGTATGTCGTTTAGAACATTCCCAGTGCTGCCCCGGATCGAGCTCTCCCCCAGTGTCATCACACCGGGCCAAACCCGGCAGGTTTCCTTTTGTTCCTCTCCTCCCACCCGTTCGCACCCTCTGTGCCGGCTTGCGGAACCATGGCCACCAGTGTGGGCCCTTGCCTATCTCACGAATCTACGGTGGCGCGCACGGCTCCTTTTCCCTCACTTTGTTTCTTATGGTGTTCATCTTACCCGTGGCCTTCACAGACTGACCTTTATTTGCTTCTCGTCTACACACTAAATTCTTCTCCTCCGCGGGATGCGGGCCGTGTAGCTGCGCAGATAACGGACAGTGCTTCAATCGCGTGCCGACTGCGGACGCCACAGAAGCCATTTGGACATATGTCGCTCGTTCATTCCACGAAACTGCCCTAATCGAAAATACAAACTCAGAATCAAGGGTGCCTGCTACCAGCTGCCACCGTCTCAACAAGATGTTTCAGCTGCATATGACCACCAAGAATTCATCCTGAGGAGTAAATCGCACCTGCGTACGGAATCGGGATCACATCGCGATACCTGATTCTCCTCCAAGGCAATCTTATACTCCATCCAGACAAGTTCGAGGGTGCAGACCCTCTTCTCAGCGCGATTCACGCTGTCTGCGCGCTTCTTACCTGTGTGTACCTCATAACGCAGCTCGTCCGTCTTGATGAGATAGCCTGTCCATGGAAGGCATAGATCACATGGTGAGTCGCACCGCCGTGTCTCCTCGAGGCTCCACTGATATAACATAGCTTCGTCTACTGGCAGTCACCTCGCCGTCTCCAACATGCCCCACCAAGCACTCCGCATCTTCTCGACGCCGCGTCCCTGTACCTTCTACCTCAAGGGCCAATGCACCCGCGGCGACGCCTGTACGTTCGACCATCCGATACCTTCTATTTCCTCTATCGCAAGTCAAGGGTCTCCCGTGCGCAAGGCTACGCCTAGGTGCAAGTTTTTTCTCCGTGGCCAATGCTCAAATCGCGCTTGCCCCTTCGTGCACGCTGATCCTGTCCCTTCAAGAACATTCGACACTCCCTCGGTATCTCACAATGTACCTCCAACTGCATGCCCGTACCATTTGAAGGGACGATGTGTCTATGGCGAGCAGTGTCGATTCTACCACATTGCGCAGGTGCACAAACCTTCTGGCGCAGGAGATCTTCAAGATGAGAATGTGAGTCATTGCACTGTCTAGATCCTGGTCCGTCTGTCTGATGCCTCTCAAGCGTCGTTGTGCGTTCCCTCATGAGACGTCTTCTGAGCAACTTGAACACGG